TCTGGCTGGACCTCATCAAAACTTATCTCTCTGCCCTCTCTGCCAAAACTTATCCCTCCGCTAAATCATCCTTCTACTCCAAGACAATCTTGGAGGCCAAGAACAACCCCAGGCTCCTCTTCTTCATCACCAACAGGCTTCTCCACCCACCCTCTCATGCCTCGCCCATCCTTTCCACCAACTCCAACTGTGAGGGGATGCTGGACTACTTCAAAACCAAAATTGAGGGGATACCCTCATCTGCCTCCGCCCATCTGTCTACTACGCCCTCACATCTCTCCCTCACACCCCGGCCCCTACCCATTCCTCCCTCCACACCTTGGAATCTGTCTCCCCCTCCTCTCTCATCACCATTATAACCCACATAAAACTAACCACCTGCTCCCTTGACCCCATCCCTACCACTATCCTTACCTCCCAACTCCACCTTCTTGCCACTCTACACACAGACATCGTAAACCTTTCCCTGTCCACTGACACTGTTACCACCCCTTTAAAACCAGCCGTCATCACTCCTATTCTTCAAAAACCCTCCCTGGATCCATCCTTACTCTCAAAGTACCACCCCATCTCCATCCTCAAGATCCTTCAAGATCTTGGAATGCTTCTGAGCTTCGCTCCTTCCTCGCCTGCCACTCCCTTCATAAACCCCTCCAATCAGGTTTCCGTGCCTCCTACAGCAAAGAAACACCTTTGATCAAAGTAACAAATGACATTTTGTCCATCTGCAACAGGGGTCCATCTGCCTCTTCATCCTCCTTGACCTCTCTACTGCCTTAGATACCATTGACAACTCCATCCTCCTCCACTGCCTCTCCTCTCACCTCAACCTTCATGGTTCTGTCCTTGAGTGGCTCAAATCCTACCTCTCACACAGTTCCACTTCATCTCCATAAACAGCTTCTTCTCTAGCTCTCATACTGTCTCATACGATGTTCCTTAGGGCTCTATCCTTGGTTCCCTCCACCTCAACATCTATATGCTCCCTCTTGGTGACATCATCCACAGACATGTGGTCAACTTCCACATATATGTGGATGACACCCAACTGTACCTCTCTGCCTCCACCCTCGACTTCAGGACAACTGCTGTGCTGACTGAATGTCTGTCAGGCATCAAGTCCTGGATGAGACCAACTTTCTACAGTCGAACATCAAACAAGACCGAGGCTCTCCTGATTGGCTTCCGTCAGCGCCTCCGCACCTCAGGCACTGGCAGTACCAGCATCCAAGGATGCACACTCCACCTTGCTGAACCAGTCCAGAATCTTGGTATCTCGTTTGACCATCAACTATTCTACCTCACATCCATGCCATGACCCGCTCTGCCTTCCCCAACCTCACAGCATTGCCCGACTCCGCCACTGCCTCAACCCTCAGGTCGCCGAAACCGTCATCCACACAATCAGTATATCTAGGCTCGACTATGCCAACTTCCTGCTTGTCAGTTTTCCCACCTATTCCCTCCACAAGCTGCAGATCATACAGATCCCTGCAGCTCATGTTCTCTCCCACAATAGGCTCCATGACCCAATCACCCCCATCCACGCCCAGCTCCACTGGTTCCCCATCCCCCAGTGGATAGAGTTCAAAATCCTCGCCTTCAACACCCTCCACAGCCCCTCCCTACCTCTGCGACTTGCTGACCCCATATCAATCTGTCCACTCAGCAAGCTCCAGCCTGCTACAAATGCCCCACCCGGCCCGTCCCACCATCGGCGGACGGATCTTCAGCCTTTCTGCCCCCATCCTATGGAACTCCATCCCACATTCCCTTCACCTCGCTCCCTCCTTCGTCTCCTTCAAAGTGCGTCTCAAAACCCACTTCTTCGACCGAGCTTTCGGCCACCCCCCTACCCTCCCTGCTCTCCACCCTCTTGGATCCTGAACCCCCAGCTAGGGTCCAAATCCCTGTCTGTCCAGCCCTTGGGACATCCTCCTGGCATGAAAGGCGCTATACATATGGAATTTTGTATTGTATTGTAATGTGCCTAAATTGTAAGTAAATCATTTATATCAGTGAACTGAGAAATTTTCCGTCTACTTCCTCTTACACAGGAGATTATGGAGTATCTATGTGCCGAGCATTGCACTTAACGTCTTAGCTATTGGTCCAATAAAACACGGGAAATTTACTCCTTTTCTAACTAATGCCAGAAATACGAGCATTTTATTTTTATCACCACAGAAACTCCCCTATCAGTGGAAATAGCTTCTCCCTATTCCCTGTCAGCCCACTTTGTGATTATTTATGCTTCTATTGGCCTTCTCTGCTCTAGTGAAAACATCAACAACTTTAAACAACAAGAGGGCAAAGGCACCTAACTGATTGACAGGTTTCAGTGTTCCTTACTTATCAGTCTAGTAACGCTGGATAAGTTTCACTCCACTCCCCAAGTGTGTCATGATTTACACACACTCAATATTATTACCAAGTGTCTTGCATGAGACTCATTGAGATGACGATTGCCTTATGTGTGACTTAGTAAAGGGAGATTTTATCTCGTCACTGCACTTTTTTTAATACAAAACTACATTAACAAAGCAATAATTCTACCATGATCCGGAATTATCTTTCACCTAGGATGTGCTTTGTAGTTACTTTCCAGCTAGGACCACTCTGTATTATTAGGGCTTTAGTTCAGAGTTAAACACGTCTTCACCTTCGAACCTTAATGAATAAAGGACAAACTGCCTGACCTTCAACAGTGCCTTGGACAGGAGAATGTTTTTAAACACGCACTTCTTTCAAGAAGATCATTTAAAAATTCAGCACAGAGAATATTTTCAATTGAACTTTTAAGGAAGCCACATCTTAATCTCTTGCAGCACATACAATCAACCTCAGAAACGTAAATAGCTTAACAGATAAAGCAGATCTTGATCCCAAAATTCCACAGCACTGAGATACCTGAGGTGTTGAATCCTTATTATGCCAGTGATATTAAAACAATATTGGTTATTGGCCTTAAATTGTCCATTCAGAGCTTTACTGAGGGTAAATATATGTTTCCTCATGGGATTTATGCACAACACGTGATGTCAGTATTAACAATAATCCTTGCATTTGATATAGCACCTTATCACATCGTCAACCTGTCTCAAACTTCTTCACAGCATTTACTGTAGAGTGCAGTGACTGTGTATTTTGTTAGTTGAGCTTAGCAGTCAATCAGCAAATACAATAACCCCACAAACAGCCATGAAGTGAATGACCAATTTTAGATGGTTGACCGGATCACTGGGAGAAACTCTCTTCTCTTTTAAGATAGTGTGATGGGATCTATAATGTCCACCTGAACAGGGAAAGGGGACCCTAGTTTACCATTACATCCAAAGGATGACACCCCTGACAATGCAGATTTCTCCCCAGCACTGCACTGGAGTGTCAACCTGGAGCTGTGAGCTCACAGTCAGTCATGTGAGGCTTGAACCCACAACCTTCAGACTCAGAAGCTACTGACTGAGCCTGGCTGACACCTAATAATAGACAAATACAACAAGATAAATGAAGTTTAAGGGGTATATGGTGGAAGAAAATTGTATGAGAAGACCAAAGTAAAGCCACAAGTCATCAATTCAAGTCTGAGGTTGTTAGATATTTGATAGCTAAGGGGATCAAGGAATATGGAGAAAAGGTAGGTAAATGGAGTTGAGATACAGATCAGCCATGATCTAATAGAATGGTGGAACAGGTTCGAAGGTCTGACTGGCACTGTTCCTATGTTCCAATAGCTGTGATGGTTTATGGTGCCCTTAGTTTTGTTAGTCATTGATAAACTGAAAGAAATTTCTCTCCACTCCCCTATTTTCCCTGGATGACATCATGATACAATATGAGTATCTGTTGTAGTCTAACCTATATGACACATTGCATGAATAATATGGATAAACATTGCAAAGCACCTTAAATGAGACATTAATGGGACGATTATTTTACCTTGTGTAAAGGGAAAAATGCAACAGAACAATATGCAACTTTTTTTGCATGGAATGCAAAGTCATTTTTTTGAAATAAAGTTCACTTCATTGTGGAACTGAGGCCTTAATAATAATAATAATCCTTGCATTTGATATAGCGCTTTTCACGTCGGGAGGACGTCCCAAAGTGCTTCACAGAACACACTGTAAAGTGAATTGACTGTATATTTGTGGGCGAACGCGGCAGCCAATTGCGCACAGCAATGTCCCACAAACAGTCGTAGATTGAAAATGACCAATTTTTATTATTGTTTTTGGTTTTTGGAGGTATTATTATTTGAAGTTATATAAGAGGAACTGTTGATCTATATGACAAACCGGCAATGGACAGTACACTGTATTATTTAAGTAAGGACAAAGATCCTTTTAAGGTCATTTGAGAGATGCTATAATGGCTTTGAATATTTCACTTAGGTAGGGTGACCATACATCCCTGATTTCTATAGTTGAGATACTGTGTCCCTGGGGTCAAATTTGCCCTGTCTTGAGTTCAGCATCAAACTGAGCAACTACAATAACATTCTAAAACAGATACGCTCCTCAGAGAAACACAGCCACTAAATCCAACTAATCCAGTACTGCCAACATCAGCAATTTCGGTGAGTTCTGTTTTGTTTATGTGTGTTCCTGGATTTGGTTTACAAAATATGGTCAACCTAACTCAGGTCATAGACGTCAATATATATTAAAATGCTATATATTTTATAGTGTGATTTGTGGTGGGCTTGTCTCTGCTGGCTGACATCAAAGGGACCGAAATGCCATTGGGACCATCTCATCATTAATACTTGGACTGAGTATCGACAAATGGTGACGTATTAAATGTGGCACCCAAAGCAAAATAGCGTCTGCAGTAAAAGTTTCGTTCACCAGTGATGGAGGATGGGTCAACATCCTAGTGTAACTTGGTTACACTATCACATTATGTAAATGTTATTGCTCAAGTTAGTACAAGGGTCAGTTTGTTGAAACTGCCATTGGATCATAAAATGTTATAAAAATCGATAGACTAAAGGCAGTTGACAAATTGTTTGCAAGTCTATGTGGATACGTCGGGGAGCATCGAACACACAGCTTGAGCTCAAGATACTGCCGGTTTTCAATTCAGCTGAAATCCCAAAACGCAAGGATGAGAAGGATAGCTTTATACCTGGGAATCTGCATTTTGGCTTCTATTCCGAGTGTTACAGCTATAGGTAAGTGGCTTTTTGTGTTTTTTTTATAAGAAAAACTAACTTTTTTTGAGCGTGGATTTAATTTTTTTTATTTAAAATTTCAAGCTATCCCCTGACCATTCAGTTATTACATACGGTTTGCTAGCCAGATCATGCAATCGTGTGGTGGGTCTAAAATCTATACAAATCTGCCTTAGCAGGAAGCCTGGCTTCTTGTAAGCACGAGGCTACATTATACAGACGTTATTGTGTGAGAAGCTCTGGGAGGCCAGAGTAGGGGAAGAGGGAATTTATTACTTGTTACTTTATTTGTTACTTTAAAATGTGCTCCCAACAAAGCATATAAGATGAATTTTCTGGGGTGGAGAAAGAAAAATAGATTGGAGGAGAACAGATTTTCTGAGATTTATCACTGCATTTGTTGAAATTGAATATAATATAATAGAATAGTCCAGCTATCAGTCTCGGTTTAAAATGACATGTTTAAATTTGATATATAAAAATATATTTCTGATTTTTGGAAACTTCATGCTGGTTGTTAAAGTTCACCATCCCCCATTCTGGTTGATCGCCATTGGTTAATTGGCACTTTTGCCGTTTTCCCCCCAAAAAAACTTTCGCAGAGTATTTTAAACCATGGAATGTACAGTATCAAAGTTCAGCAAATATATTTTTATACATCAAATTTAAACATGTCATTGTGCGCCTAGTATAAGAATGGCAATTCACTGTCTGTTAGGAACACCAACCCGTACAGAGGATGACTCATTGTACAAGTCAGTGGCAAAGTGTTTAAAATTAATCAGGAAGGAACATCTTGGTTGATTTTTTGCTCCTGGGCTGGGCAAAGATGAGATGTAATTCAACCTTTGGTTCCCTAATCTTTCCTTTGCTTTGGTCTTCCTGAGTCATTCGGTGGTTGAGAAATCAGGATGGGTGGGTCAGAATAAGAACGAAAGAACAAAAGAATTTGCTAGGCAAACGAAGACCAAGGTCCATCCAGCTCACCTTCCACCATACTGGCAGTCGTGTGACATGTCATTTCCCAAACTATGTACTTTATCCCGAGATATTATTTTCCAGCAGAAATCTATCTAATTTGTTCTCTAAACAAACAACACTTTCTGCTTCCACCAAGAGTGGCGGCCAGTTCCCAGGCTTTGACGAATGCAGCTCTCAACCTCCTAGCAAAAGGCAAAAGTCGCAGGGTTAGGAGCCTCTCTCCCTGTAGAGAAAGCATCTGCTCCTTTGCTCATTGTATTCTCATTTCACCCATAAAAAAAACAGTCGATCCACTTTACAGTATATTCTGTGAAGCGTTTTGTGACGTCTCGATGTCATGATAAGACACTAGATCAAATACAAGAATTATTATTATTTTCACAAGAATCTGTGGCTGAGACTAAGACCTCCCCAGGAGTGGGGGAGTGAAACCTGTGGAGGGATGAGATCAGATGAGCCTTCTTCATCCAGATTGATCTTGTGATCACAATCCTTTGATCTTGTGAACGTCCATTTAGAGCACTGTGCACTGGAGGTCCCACCCAACATGGCAGCTTTAGTTTATCAGGGCATTGTCAGTCACGTTCGATCTTCATGGAATGACACAGTTTAACAGCACAGAAGTGGTTGGGGGGAGAGTTGTCACTCAGCCCATCTCTGCGATGGATCTCTGAAAAGATCTGTTCACTTAGCTCCATTTGCCTGCCTTTGATTTTCCCCATATTTTGCATATTTTTTCCTTTCCCAAATCCCTTTATTCAATTCCCTTTTGAAAGCTATTAATTAAAATCTAACCACCCCCCCATCTCACCCACCCAACCCGCACACATACACACACACAAATCTTTTACCAATTTTTTTAATTTCAGCTCGTTTTTACCTGGAGTGATAATGAATTGAGCTGAGTTGTAGGTTGGCAGAATATGGTTTTGCCCGTTTTTTTTTCTTGATAGCCATGTGGCTGTGGAGAAGTGTAGGGCAGAGACCCAAAGGGAAAGCGGGAGGGAGGGAGACTTGCTCCAGACTTCTTTTCTGTCTCCTATGTCTGCGAGTGTCATTTTTGGAGAGTGTTGTGTCAATGAACATTGTGCGCAAGGCAAGGGAAGCCAGGAAACGAGGAGTAGGGACAGAACAATTGAGAAGAAAATAAACAGGGACTTACTTTCACGCACAAAAAATGTGGTTGAAATTGTGACAATGGATTTAAGAGTTTCCGATAGCTTCTGATAACCTGCACATTTTAAAAATAACTTAAATCAAAAACAGTCAGCTGCCAATAAACTAATGTATTTGTAATAATAATAATGTGCACTTTCTGTAGAAAGTAGTTATTTTGGGAATACTAAGAAAAGTAGCATCCATTCAAGTGTAAAGTGGCAGTGTTATTGATCTTGCTGACTCATTATTGAAAACCATTTAGAACTATCTCTACGGAGTGATCTAAATTGTAACAACGTTAATAATAATAATCAAAATCCTCACATTTGATATAGTACCTTTCACGTCGGAAAATTTCTCGAAGCTCTTCAAAGGGTACACTCTAATGTGCAGTGACTCTATATTGTAAGGAAACACGGTAGACAATTTGCGACCAACATTGTCCCACAAACAGCCATGAAGTGAATGGCTGTTTTATTTGGAACAAGTTTCTCCCACGCAGTATTTTCCACTTTAATTTGTGCACAGGGTGTTGTGCATAAATCAAGCTTAAAATAATATTTGCATTTCAAACCCGCAACAACACAACTTTGAACATGTCTATCAGCTCAACTGAAAAAAATAACAGGCAGGTGTGTGCGTAGATACAATGCTACACACTGCCACAGACAGGATGACTAGAGCAAGTGCACAGAAATTCATCACAAATCTCGAAGGGCAATAAATTTGGTCACTCGATCCGCGACTTGTGGACTTGTGGAGGAGGGGGCTTGGCTGATGTACTTTGCACCTGTCTTCACAAAAGAAAATGCAGCCAATGCCACAGTATCTGAGGAGAGGGTAGAGAAATTAGATAAGATAAGAATAAACCAAAAGGAGGTACTAAACAGGTTGTCCGTGCTCAAGGTAGATAAGTCCTCGGTCCGGACGGGATGCATCCTGGGTTACTGAGGGAAGTAAGGGAGGAAATAACGAATGCTCTGGCCACAATCTTCCAATCCTCCTTGGACACCGGTGTGGTGCCAGAGGACTGGAGGATTGCAAATGTTACTCCCCTGTACAAAAAGGGGCAGAAGGATAAATCCAGGAACTACAGGCCAGTCAGCTTATCGTCAATAGTGGGGAAACTTCTCGAGACTCCAACTCGGGAAAAAATAAATTTTCACTGAGATAAATATGACTTAATAAAGGACAACTAACATGGGTTTATTAAAGGCAAATTGTGTCTAATAAACTTGATAGAGTTTTTTTATGAAGTAACGGAGAGGATGGATGAAGGTAGTGCCGTTGATGTAGTTTGTATGGATTTTCAAAAGGCGTTTGATAAAGTAAGAGACTTGTAAGCAAAATAGAAGCCCATGGTATTAAAGGGACAGTGGCAGCATGGATACAGAACTGGCTCAGAGACAGAAAGCAGAGTGGTGGTGAACAGATATTTTTCTGACTGGAGGGAAGTGTGCAGTGGTGTCCCCCAGAGGTCAGTATTGGGACCACTGATGTTTTTGATCTGTAAAAATGACCTGAACTTGGGTACGGGGAGTACAATTTGCAAGTTTGCTGATGATACTACGCCAGGAAAGTAGTAAACAGTGACGAGGTTAGTAGAAGACTGGTAAAATGGGCAACAATTGGCAGATGAAGTTTAATGTGGAGAAATGCAAAGTGATGCATGTTGGGAGGAGAGGCAATATAAACTGAATGTATAATCTTAAAGGGGTGAGGGAACAGAGACCTGGAGTTCATATAAGTAAATCTTTGAAGGTGGCAGGACAGGTAGATAAAGCTGTTAAAAAAGCATACGGGATACTAGGCTTTATAAATAGGGGCATAGAATACAAAAGTCAGGAAGTTATGATGAACCTTTATAAAACACTGGTTGGACCTTAACTGGAGACTGTGTTCAGTTCTGGGCACCACACTTTAGGAACGATGTCAAGGCATTGGAGTTGGTGCAAAGGAGATTTACCAGAATGGTACCAGGAATGAGGGACTTCAGTTATCAGGAGAGGCTGGAGAAGCGAGGATTATTCTCCTTGGAGCAGAGAAGGTTAAGAGGAGACTTAATAGAAGTTTTCTAAATTATGAGGGGAATTATAGGGTGAACAAGGAGAAACTATTCTTGGATGGGTCGGTAATCCGAGGGCACTGATTTAAAATAGTTGTTAAACAAAACAGAGGGGAGGTGAGAAGAAATTTTTTCACACAGCAAGCTATTCGGATCTGGAATGTATTGCCTGAAAGAATGGTGGAAGCCGATTTGATTACAACTTTTAAGAGAGAAGTAGATAATTATTTGGGGAGGACACATTTGTAGGGCTACAGGGAGAGAGCGGGGAAATGAGATTGATTTGGATAGCTCTTTTCAAAGAGCCAGCACAGACACGATGGGCAGAATGGCCTCTTTCTGTGCTGTATAATTCTATGATTCTGTGATTCTACGACTGTTTGCGGGACACTTGTGCGCACAAACAGTCAAAATATACAGTCAGTTCACTTTACTGTATATTCTGTGAAGTGCTTTGAGACATCACGAAGACTTGATCAGGCGTTATATTAAATGCAAGAATTATTATTATTCTTTATAAAATGTTGAGACAATTCCTTTCTGTCACTAAACCAATGTTTCAGAAAATTAATTCATTTCTAAAAATTCATAGTTTTGATTTAAAACATGCAATTTCCACCAGCAAAAGCTAAATTTATTTGTCTGATTAATAAACCTGAATCATCAGAGAATGAATAATTTCAAAACCTGAGGCAGACCTTGTAAAATTATTATGTATAATTATTTTTTGTATTTGGTATAACACCATATCACACAATTGAGATGAAAGGCACTACACAAATGTAATCTTGTTGTTGTTGTTGTTGAGCTCAACGTCCTGACGTGGTTCTTAAATCCCCAACCTTCTGGGAAACTCTCATGATTTTTTTTAAATAACAGAGTTAACTTAAAAAATTGCCAATCATCAATATCTCTCAATTTAGCAAAATTCCAAAATGTCAAGCTTATAGTATGGATAAGCCTTTGAGGCTTATAGTATGAATTCCCCAGCCTAGACTAAGTCTTAAGTCTGCTGTAAGAGTTTCTAATATTTTTATAACCATATCCATTGTTATTTGGATAATTTTTATCTCTTGTGCTCTTTCTGGATTTCTGACTTGGCTGTCATCCCCTTCTCTTCCTCCTTCACAATAAAGTGTGATGGGACTACTGTTAACCACCATCTTTGCACCATCATTGTTAAGTGATCCAATACAGTAAACTCCTGATAACTAGTCACTCCAAAGCAAAAGGACTCAGTGATAAATTATCTGGAATGGCGGGTTAGGCATATGTATAAATATATAAATAAATCTTTTTGTGCTATAAATCTTTGTAAATGGGCAGAACGAAATGTTAAGCGAGTTTCCTTACTCCACAACCCTCTGTTTATCTAGCAGTAAGTAGGAACCTGGATGTTAGTCAATTGGCGGATCGCTTTTCCATGGGGTAATAATTCCTTCCAAAAAAGAAAAGACTAAGAATAATTTGGCTACTCAATCCACGACTGTTCGTGGGACATTGCTGTGCCCAATTGGGTGCCATGTTTCACCCACAAAATATACAGTCAATTCACTTTACAGTATATACAGTAAAGGCCTTTGAGACGTCTCAAAGGCGTGATAAGGCACCATATCAATTGCAAAGATTATTATTTTTCTAGATTATTAATTATTATTAATTGTGACTGGGTTACTGACAGTATGATGACTTAAATTGTAATGATAAGTTAAGCCAGGGTCAAGTTATTAGGAGTTTACTGTACCTTATTTCATGCTTTGTCTACTGCATGACTATTTGAGAAAAAAATTCATTATTGTCTGAGAAGTTCTCAGCAATCTTACATTCAATGGGGTGGGAATAAATGTAGTAAAATACCATTGCAGATTTGTTGCGAGAATTTTCACATCAAATTTCTTATGAAATGTTGCATTTCTCCCCCTCAGTGTATTTATTAGCTGCCGTTTTACAATGTACATCTTTACAATGTACCTTATTAACATAACATAACATATAGGAGCAGGAGTAGGCCATTCGGCCCTTCGAGCCTGCCCCACCATTCAATCATGGCTGATCTTCTAATCTAACTCCAGCTAATACCATAACCCTGCCTTATCCCCATATCCCTTAATCCCTTTTGCAATAAGAAATATATCTATCTCAGTGGACTGAGCGTCAACAGCCCTTTGGGGTAGCAAGTTCCATACATTCACCACCCTTTGAGTGAAGAAGTTCTTCCTCAACTCAGTGCGAAAGGGCTGGCCTCTGATTTTAAGGTTGTGACCCCTGGTTTTAGTTTCTCCAACCAGGGGAAACAATCTCCCACTATCTACTCTATCATGCCCTTTGATGATCTTATAGGTTTCTATAAGAACCCCTCTAATTCTTCTATATTTCAGAGAATATAGGCCCAAATTGGTCAGCCTATCCTCGTAACTCATCCCCTTCATCCCTGGTACTAACCTAGTAAATCTACGCTGCACCCTCTCCAAGGCAAGTACATCCTTCCTTGAATGAGGAGACCAAAACTGCACACAGTATTCCAGGTGTGGTCTCACCAGGGCCCTATACAGTTGCAGCAAGACTTGCCTACTCTTATACTCTAATCCTTTCATAATGAATGCTAACATACCGTTCGCCTTCCTAATTGCTGCTGCATCTGCAGACTAACTTTCTGTGATTGGTGTACAAGGACACCCAAGTCCCTCTGGACGCTAACACATTCCAATCTCTCCCCTTCTAAAAAATAACCCGCTCTATTGTTTTTGCTACCTAGGCGGATGACTTCGCACTTCTCTATTCTCTTATTCTCTTGCCCACTTGCCAAGGGTTACAATCGAGTGATAGGACATGGAAACAGGCCATTCAACCCAACGAGTCTTATACTCCATATGAGTCTCCAGCACTCCTGGTCCCCTCACCTATACCCCTTTGTTACATTCTCCCTCATACATGTATGCTTGTGTGAGTTTTCTCTTAAACCTGTTGATGTATTCTTTGGCTTCAACTACAGGTTACTTTGAAGCGTTCCAAGCCACCCATTTACTTCAGTTTGGGGGTTCAGCATAGTGTATGAAAATTGCCCCAATCACAGAGATCAGATTTGACTGCAGCAAGCAGATATTGCCCTCTACTGAACCGTAACAAGCCTGGATTTTGTTTTACTTTCAAACTCTTTGTTTTACCAATTACCATATTAGTAACAATGCCAAACTTCATTTCACCATTTGCATAAAAAATAAATACTTAGGCGTGCATTTGAGAGGAATTAGATGCAGCCTTTTTTCCCCCCTGTGACAGGAAGCCACACAGGCACTTAATAAGAAAACAATCTGGTTATATTTCGCTATGTACAATATTGTACTATATATATCTCTACAGCACAAGACAATCAGCAGCTACTTATCATGGTTTGTAACTAACAATATAAAATCACATAGCTGAGTGCAAATTGGCTGCCGGGTTTGACTACAAAATATACGATCACTACACTTTACAGTATATACTGTGAAGCACTTTGAGACGTTCTTCTGATGTGAACAACATTTAAATAGTGACCTTTACAGGGGGTTGTGTCTCGGACAGTGAAAGGCACTATATCAAATGTAAAGATTATTATCAGTATTTAACTGCTAACAGCTATTAGTCACTAACAAAAAATATGTTTTTTCTCTCTCAGCAGCGAAAGAATGCAATGAGGAAAAGAATATGGGAACTGTGAAAGATTCCAAACCAAAATCCATAAATTGGTACTATGACTCCAATCTGGACAAATGCTCACCATTTCTCTACAACGGGGATGGAGGCAATGGGAACAATTTTGACACAGAGACAATTTGTTTACAAATTTGTTCTGAGCAGTATACAAAACTGTTCCCAGAAGGTGGTAAGTTATGTAGATTATACAGCACGGAAACAACATGTTTGGTCCAACCAGTCTGTGGTAGTGTTTATACTCCACATTATTCTCTACTCCTTACTCACTCCCATAGCCTTCCATTTCCGTCCTCTTCAACTACTGCTTCAGACAACAAGTTCCAACTTCTCTTCACTCTGTGTGAAGAATATACTCCTAAATTCTTTTTTAGATCCTCTAGTCTTTATCTTACACTTGTGTACTCTGGTTACAACTCCCCAACAAGTGGGAACAGCCTCTTTATGCTAACTTCATCAAATCCTATTGTAATTGTAAACACCTCTATTAGGTCCCCTCGTAACCATCTCTTCTGTGATAAAAGGCCTACCTTTCCAATCTATCTTTATGGTAATAATCTGCCAGCCCTGGTATCGTCCGAGTGAACCTATGCTGTATCCTCTGAGCACCATAAGTGCTCTGAGATGCTACCCTGCGTGGAGGGTGCTTTATAAGTGCAAGTTGTTGTTGTTGTATCCTTATTGTAAGTGCTGTAAAATCGTTGCTATATCTTTCAATAAAAAATATATTTAAATACCTATTTTTTAAAAATACCAAAAGTACTAATAATTAAACCTATTCAGTAATCACTGTTGTTTATAAAAGTCATGATTTTTTATTCTTTGTATTTGTATGCTAAACTTGAGGACAGCGATTGACTGCTAAAAATATATCCATTCTTCTTATTGTTTTTTGATGCTTTTAAGAGATATGAGAAGCCATTATCCATAAAACGCTTTACAATTCTAACCTAAAGGGGTATTGGGGCTAAGGGCAGGTGAATGAAAGTGAAAGAATTGCTCTTTAAAAGAACTAGTGCAGACACAATAGTCTTTTTTCTGTGCCGCACATTTCTATGGTTCTACACTTCTAACCTCTAAATTAAGGAATTCTATCCTCTGTGCAATACAAATGTAAGGTCAAGACTATGTTTCATATTTATGAATAAAAAAAAACCCAGGGAACAAACTGATCTGAGCTCTGATCGACTGAAGCTGTTACAAATTCTAGGCTGGACCAACAGGAATTTTCAAGAGCCCATTTCATTTGCATAACTATGTGATTAGTAATATTAAAATGGCTTCAAAAATCCCAAATCATAGGAACAGGAGTAGGCCATTCAGCCCTTCAAATCTGTTCCACCATTCTATAAGATCATGGCTGATCTGTCTCAACTCCAATTATCCGCCCTTGGCCCATGTCACTTCATACCCTGACCTAACAGAAATGTATCCACCTCAGCCAAATAATCACTCCCTCATTTTTCATTTGGACAACTTTCTGTTTTTTTGTTCCAATCTGCTAATCTGTGAAATATTTCTTGATAAGGAATCTATTAATTTTCTATGAACTCAACAAAAAAAAGTCTGGAGAGTTAAGTTCCCTTGGTGATCTAAACTTCTCCTTTCACACGTTGTTATGCAGATGCCAAGTGTAAACTGGAGAAGGCGAAAGGAGACTGCAAGGCTTTTCTCTTGAGGTGGTACTACAATGCAGAGCAAAACAAATGCGAAACATTCTTCTACAGCGGCTGTCATGGCAATGGAAACCAATTTGCGACCGGCAATGAATGCAGGACCCTTTGTGGTAAATACTCAATATTTTTTTAAAAATGTTTGTACATTCTTAATTGTTCAGAGGTTTGCTGTAAAGAACAAATGCCCCGAGGATCTTATTGCTACTGTTCTTGAGGAATGGACGTTTAGGAATCGGGCAGGGATGCGCTTCTGCAGCAGTTGGTGGACGAAAGAGAATTTTGAGAGTAAAATGTTTCCCGTTAACTGCCGATTCTATGACTAGGAACTATTATTACAATAATAATCTTTGTATTTGACATAGCGCCTTATCACGTTTTCGAGACATCTCAAAGCGCTTCACAGATTAATAATAATAATAATCCTTGCATTTGATATAGCGCTTTTCACGACGGGAGGACGTCCCAAAGCGCTTCACAGAACACACTGTAAAGTGAATTGACTGTACATTTTGTGGGCGATTTGTGGCATCCAATTGTGCACAGCGGTGTCCCGCAAATAATCTTGGATTGAGTGACCAAGTTATTATTTTTAGTCATTAATTCATTTGTTTATTTATTTATTTTCAAAATTTTGCAATCAATCGCAGTACTAATTCATTTCCAAATACTTGGCCTCCCAGCCAACTGTGTAAAGCAGTTTGAGGCGCCCTCCTGTGGAATCCCATAGCGTAGTGGTTAGCGAGCTCGCCTCACAAGCCAGAGGACCCAGGTTTAATTCCCGGGCAGGGCGAAACCTTAGGCAAGTTTCCTTATTGCACACGCCTCTGTTTATCTAGTTGTAAATAGGAACCTGGTTGTTAGTCGATTTGTGGATCGCTTTCCGGTGGTAATAATCCTTCCAAAAAAAAATAATAATATCGTCACTCAATCCACCAAATTGCATGGTTTTAGTTGGTTATACTCCATGAGTGTCCCTCCCTATACACATCCTGGGTCCCCCAAGCCTTTGCCAACTTGCACCCAAATTCCCCGGAAATGGTCATTCACTTCATGGCTACTTATGGGGACAATACTGTGCACAAATTGGCTGTCGCACTCACGTACAAAGTCACTTCTTTACAGTAAATCCCGTGAAGCCCTTTGAGAAGTCACACTGATGGGAAAAGCACTCAATCAAAATGAGCCCCACCAGAGAAACAGTGCAACAACAATTTGCATTTACATAGTGCCCTTCATGCGGGGCAGCTAATCAGAGTGCTTACCACACTCTTACCACACTAACTGAAATTTTCATACATATATAGAACTTTCAGTCTGGTTTGGATACTCTTAACCTTGGGTGGTGAGTTTCTGCATGCGTCAAACACGCATCTGATTCCAAACAAATCTTAATTGAGGTAATTTTTTTATGAGTTCTCTGCTGAAACACTAGATGGCAATGGACATTCAAGTACGTTTTTGCTCCTCAACTGAAAGTCATTGCTGATTTCAGTGACTGTTCGCTAATGCTCATGGAAGTTTCAAACTGCACAGTGGAAATCACAATGTAGTCACAACAGTGACCATTAATGTATCTCTTTGGAATGATTAACCATTAGATATGCAGTACTTGAATGTTGAATGGAGATTATCTGTCCACAAAATGTTTTCTTAACAACCTGACTGAAACCCACAAAGATTTTCTAGCAAATTTTCGACCATCAAATCTCCTAAAATAAAATCGACCGTTCACGTCATGGCTGTTGGTGGGACATTGCTGTGCACAAATTGGCTGCCATATTCGCTCACAAATACAGTTACTCCACTTTACAGTATATCTTGTGAAGTGTTTTGGGACGTCCTCCTCACATGAAAAGCACTATATAAATACTAGGATTGTAAAGATTAGTATTGTTATTAAATTTGGACCTCAACCATGCTGGGGGAGTGAGGGAGACAGAGGGTGGTGCTAAAAGTGGATCCGACTGATCATGTGGCGATTGTCATAATGTTTATTTAACTGAACCAAACTGAAACTGCCTGCATTGTCTTCTGGTAGTTTGAAGGGGGTCAGAATTTCATATGGGACATTTGAGTGCCCTAACCCTTAGGGACCATGTCAAGGCCGTGTGTCAAGGCACTGTACTTAATGTTTGGGATGTTTCGTATTTAACTAATTCGGACTGGGGTGGGTGGGTGGGAGGGGGAAAGAGGGAATCCAGCTGAAAAAAAAGTAATGAGAGTAGTTTGTTTTGCTAGCCTCTTAGTCTGTTCACTCCCGCCCTCACCTTGTTCAAGATCCATTTCAAGATGTACCTCTTTGACCACACTTTCGGTCATCTTTCGCCTACCTGTCCCCTTTGACTCCCGCCACCAGCTCAAGTTCAAAGCAGCGTTAAGGGCTTTGAGACATCCCCCTAACCCTGTGAAAGGTGCTGCATAAATGTGAATTGTATTGTTTGTGCTCTGAATTTTGAAAGTGATGCTTTCTCTGTTTTATCCATGTGAAGTTCGATCTGGAAGAGGTGGCGCAGAAGAGATACCACAAGATGTTTCTGACTCGGATGCAGGTACAGTAATAAGGACACAGACAACCTGACTTTAATACAGTATTAGTCACAGTCATTGCTGAAGGGTAGTGATTAGAGCACTCACCTCACAAGCAAAAGTATCCGGGTTCGATTCCTTAGGCAAGTTTCCTTACTCCACACACGTGCCTCTGTTTACCTAGCAGCAAGTAGGAACCCACTTGTTAGTCGATTGGCAGTTCACTTTCCAGGGTTAATAATAATACAAATAATAATAACTTGGTCACTCAATCCACAGCAGTTTGTGGGACACTGCTTTGCGCAATTGACTGCCGCGTTTCACCCACAAAATATAGTCAATTCACGTTATCATATTTTCTGGGAATCGCTTTGAGATGTCTAGAAGATGTGATATATCAAAAGCAAGGATTATTACTATTACAGTAAGTGTTTTGGAAGAACCCAGCCACTTAGCCAGAAAAGAAATACAACAGTTGTTAACCACAATTTGCAAACACTTGTACATACACTAAGATGCAAACATTCGGTATTATCTGCTATGCTGGGGGAACCACACAGCTTCATAGATGATGAATTACACTGGCTTAGCAGCCACACACAATATTACAGCAATTTCTTCCAATTGGCACAAACATAGCATAAATTGTACACAATTCTAAAAAGAAGCCAAATGGTAAATATGGGGTAAAATGACAAGGCAAAATTATCTTTCTATTTCAAACTAGCTGAATGACTGCACAGCACACAGTCACTTTACTTTACAGTAAATGCTGCAAAGCATTTTGAGACGTCTTCCCAATGTGAAAGCACTGTATCAAATGCAAGGATTATTATTTTTTAATGATCACAGTTCCCAATCTTATTAAGTATGGAAGAATTTTTGCTCTGGCTCTGTTTCCCAGCTCTATGGGTAGGACAGAAATGTAATAAATAATTATTGCATTTGGTGTAGTGCCCTTATCACATTGCCAAGACAATAAAATAAATGTGTTGCTTTGTACCATTGGAGTAGATGTATGGTTGTATCTCAGGTATTTTTAAATCATCGGAAGATTTTGAATTTGTTTGATGATCGTAATGTATTTTCTTTAAACCAAACTGGAAGATCCACAGATTTCATTGTATAGCTCGATTGGCCTTGTCGTTGTCTGTCCCACTTGCAATATTCACAACAACAGGAAATCCATGTAATTCTATGCCATCACTGTTATATTAATGCAGCCACTTCAACCGTCTGAATGTGCTATTGTAACACATTCTTTTTGAAATGACATCTTTAGGTTCAAGACAATGATATTCTCTAAATCCATTCCTTCTCACTCACACATGACAACACAAGGGACAAAAAACATCAACACTAGACTTCCACTTCTCTCTTGATTCAATTCATCACAAATCCTTCCTCCTATAATGTAGTCACTTTGATTAGTGAGTAAGGGGATTTGTCCAGTGAGCCTGTCCTTGCAAACCTATAACAGTGGAAATAACAGCCCTTAACTTGTACAATTTCTCTTTCCAGGCACAACTGTTGCAATTGTGTTCGGATGTCTCTTCGGTATTGTCGTTGTTGGCGCTGTGGTTGGACTTGTGCTGCAAAGGTAAATTACCAAATGTAAACTGAGCATATAATTGAACTGAGCTTCAATTGAACGGTAAATATTAAACATTTGAATGTTGTTTAGACTCCAGCAGTACCCAAAGCACACTCTGGGGTCACCAAGCCTTGGGTCTTACCACCCTGCGCCTAAGACTTTCCAGAATTAGGAGGGAGGGAGGGAGTGCACATTCTGTTCCAACAATCTATCTTAGGTATTTCCATGTGTAGGGGAAATGTGTGGAATTCTCAGCTTGGTTTGGATACTCTTAAGCCTGGTGATGGGTTTCCGCAGGTGTCAGACACCCGGCTGATCAAAAAAACACACAAAAAACATTTGAAGGATGCTCTGTTTGGCCATTCTAGGGAGTTATGAGTCAGTATCCTATCGAATCAGAGTGAATAAAATGGGTTCTCCATTATAACCAAAGATTGGGCAAACTGCTGAGGTTGGATCTGATTGGCAATCCTCCCCATCCTTTCTCCCCTCTTCACTCACACAGCCAATGTGGAAGATAGCTGTGAGTGAAAATTCTCATGCTTACTCAGAGTGAACCATAGGACTTTAAAACGTACAGCACAGAAGAAGGGCTTTCAGCTCATTGTGGTGGTCTAGCTGTTTTAAGGAGCAATCCTTTCAGTCCTATTTACCTGACTCTTCCCACATACCGCTGACTGGATTGGGAGATGTCCTTGTGTTTTCACTTTGTCTCTTCTATTGGTTTCTCCCACACACGCGCTCACTCCATTCCCTGCGCAGTCATACACAGCACTAACTGAGTATTTCTTTTCCATCAGGAAAAAGTATAAAAGTAAATCAAAAGGCACAACGGAGGTGGAGATGCAGTAAACGTCATGCAGTTCATCATAATCACAAGAAAAATTACTGTTATGTTGATAATTTCCCATCATTTATTGGTACCACTCCCACGATTACTTTATTTTAAATAGTGATTTTTGTACCTTGACTTTTTTTTAAAAACACAAAAATGTGGCAAATGCATAATGTGTGATGTCAAATATTCCATTTGTTCATCAGTGCTTCTCTTTTCCAAACGCAAATGGACCATGTTATCACCAAGTTAGTGAAGTGATTGCGGGTACTCCTATATACAGTCAATACTGAAGTCCTGTAGCTCAGTGGTTAGAGCACTTGCTTTCCAAGTGAAATACCTGGGTTCAATTCCAGGCAGAGCGAAACCTTGGGCAAGTTTCCTTACTCCACACACCTAATAATAATCCCTCCAACAATCAAAACAATAATAAATTTTTCAATCCATGACTGTTTGTGGGACACTGCTGTGCGCAATTGGCTGCCGCGTTTCGCCCACAAATATACAGTCAATTCACTTTATAGCATATTCCGTGAAGCGCTTTGAGACGTTTAGAAGGCATGAAAAGCACTATAGCAAATGCAAGGATTATTATTATTACTCCTGTTATATCGAAAAGGCAAGCCAGTGACAAAAAAAATGCTTACACTCATGAATATAATAGAAGTAACTAAACATTTCACCAACATATAGAGGAAGAAACTGTGACCATGATAACAATTTCCGTGGATCTGGATTTTGCCAGAATTTTGACGGGTTCAAGTTTGCAATCATGATTTAGACAAGACTCTGTTTAACCAAAGCCTTTGTTCATTCATTTGTGAGGAAAGAAAAGTTGCTGCAATGAAGTAAATTATCGGGAATGTTATAGCAAAATACGGTGTGAAATAATGCTGTAATGTAAGGGTAGAGCATATGGCTATTTTCGTACCTGATCCTGGAATATGGAGACTTTTTAGGTGAAATAAAGAAATTCAGAAAATGTGGCAGTGGTTCTTGAGAACTTTCATTTCACCTCATTAAAATACTTCCAAAACAATATTTCTTTTGAGCCTGTACACAAGTCAGTCATCAAGAACCTCTCGGACATAATGGAACTCTGAAAGAATCCAATACACAATTGTCCTGTGTGGTCACATTGTGCCAATACAAGTAAATCCAAGATATTCAATGTAAAATATAGCAACTGTTTCAGGCCGAAAAAGGCCATTCTTTCATTTGGCCCATTCATTGGACTTTCCATAAGATTTTTTCATTATAATTATCTCATAAACTTATAAGCTTGAATTGTTTTTGTACCCAGGACCTGTCTACTTCCTTTCTGAAAGACCTTATAAGTTCCATTTTCCACCACCTGTGCTAAGAGTTTCACCACATTCCTATCAACCTTTCAGTTTTATATATACTGTATATATAATATATATATAACCCTTCCTGCACTTGCTATTCTCTTTTGTTACCCTTGTTTTGAAGTTGTGATCCCCTGTTTACTCTTAACCTTTTTTTTTGATATTTATTACTTTTGCAGATGTTAAAACATTCCTGCGGAGGGAAATTATGTTAACATGTAAACAGCAAATGTTGTCTTATACAACACAAACAGGTGATTTCTGTCTCACTGTGAAACAATCTGACGACTTCCTCCTTCTTATCACACTAATTAAGTTCTTTGAACCTCCGAACACTATCTGAACAGAAAGAGGGACTCATGCATCTGCACTTGAACACTCAACAACAACTGCAATTATATAGCCCCCCTCATACAGGGTAGTGTCCCAGAAAACCTGACAGGGGTGGAGCACGACCCCGAGCTGGGGGTGGGGGGGGGGTGCGTGGGGGTGGGGAGGATGACTAGGCACGGTCGAAGAGGAAGGTCTTCAGGCTCGATCTGAAGACGGAGAAGGAGAGGACAAGGCAGAGGGTTTGAGGGAGAAAGTTCCAGAATTTTGGTGTGTCGTGGCTGAAGACGTGGAATGGAGGGCACGAGGGATAAGCAGGAGGCCATAACCAGTGAAGGGAAGGCAGTGGGTAGTTAGTTGTGGGACGAGCATCTCAGAGAATTGGGATGTAACAAGGTATGAAGGGATTCGAAGACGAGTGCGAGGATCTTGATAGGGAGCCAGTGGCTAGAACTGATGTGATGAGGGTATGGAATTTAGTACGGGTAAGTATGCAGGCGACTGTGTATGTAGGTTTAATTGGATTCTGTGGATGTTGGAGCTAGAGAGGCGAGGAAGACATTTGAATAGTCGAGGCGGGAGGTGACGAATGCATGGACGAGTTTTTCAACATTTGAGCTGCAGAATGGGAGCAAAGTAAGAGCAAGAGTAACTTGTCTGACTTGCAACAATGATATTGTTGGGGAAATCTGTAATTGCACAATTTTCACCAACCTTCAGCCTCTTTACTGATCATTCCTGGTATAATGTTGCAATGTGAATGTTTACAAGCTCAAACAATGTGCTATATTTTAGAAAATATTCAGCAAATAAGCAAGTTATCGAAGTGGGCTTTTGCTCCATTGGAAAAGGTACCATCAGAGTCCTGTAGCTCAGTGGTTCGAGCACTTGGCTCGCAAATGAGAGACAGCGCAAAACATTGGGCAAGTTTCCTTACTTACTCCACCCGCCTCTGTTTACCTAACAGTAAGTAGGAACCGGTTGTTAGTCGATTGGGGGATCACTTTTCCAGGCCAATAATTTTTTTTAAAAAATTGGTCAATCAATCCACGACTGTTTGTGGGACACTGCTATGCGCAATTGGCTCCCATGATTCGCCCATAAAAATATACAGTCAATTCACTTTACACTATATTCTGTGAAGCACTTTGAGACGTCTCGGAGATGTGATAAGGCGCTATATCAAATGCAAGGATTATTATTATTATTATTTACCATTTTCAAAATGCTTATGGTTTTCCCAGGGGGTAAGGATAAAATGCATTGCAGAAGAGGTTGCCTTCGTTTCCGCAGCCACAAGAAGCTTTTTTTGAGGCACCTGGCGCAAAACCTGTTTTTGTATTCGTTTAAAATCAGTTCCACCTTTTTCACTTTGCCATCTTCTGGGCCCCGAAATTTGGACCCTACTGCCCATGTTTCGCTCACAAATGTGGAGTTCTGTAGCTCAATAGATAGAGCACTCACCTCTCAAGCGAGAGACTTGGGTTCTCTTCCCGGCAAGGCGAAATGTTGGGCAAGTTTCCTTATTCCGCACACCTATGTTTACCTAGCAGTAAGTAGGATCCCGGTCGTCAGTCGGTTGGCAGATGGCTTTTCTGGGTATAATAATCCCTCCAAAAAAAAATGTGATCATTCAATCCACGACTGTTTGTGGGACACTGCTGTGCGCAATTGGCTGCCGCATTTCTCCCACAAATATACAGTCAATTCACTTTACAGTACATTCTGTGAAGTTGCAATTATTATTATATGGATTTCTTTTAACACAAATTAATTCAAAGTTATAAAATTATTTCAAAAGTTTTGGTCATACAGCAATTTGGAATTTTCAGATCAAAGTTAAAAATAAATCCCATACTATAATAATAATATTATATATAAATATATATAAATACTCTCTTTAGGTTACACTCTTCAGGCAGTAGGCACTGTTTCTTATGCAAGCACACTATCCCTCCTATTTGAGACAATAGCTGCTCCCATGCTGTTATCAATTATCCTCTGTAATTGATAATTTTGCCTCACTCAATGTAAAGGCCTGTTTTCCCTTTATGATATGCTTAATATTAGGAGCTCACTTTGGAGCAGTGAAACGTCTTGGCAAAACTTGTTGGAGCAACAGTGTGCTAGGAATAGCACGTGCTCTTCTCTGACCAAACTGCCTGTGTGATCAATGGGGTTTGTCGGGATAGACCTGGATAAGGCACGTCACTGGGGATGCTATTCTTCTGATACTTCTGCAAGCCAATACTCTAACTAGTACAGTGGTCACGAGTGGACAACTGGTGAAAAACTTAGTAGTGTCTTGTACTAGTAAACTGCATGGTTTAAACAGATTAATTTTCAGCATTTTCATAATGTACGCTTTGGGGCTACATCATACATTGGGTTTGGATGAAGAAGACCTTTCAACTCATTTGCCTCACCTTCCAGAATACCCACCTTACCTTCTTCCTGTTACAGCAGCAAGTTATTTATTAAATGAGTACAGTATCCTGATCTCAACCACCATTCCTAGTACTCCATTCCAGCCATTAACTGCTCTATGTGTGAAGAAATGCTTCCCGGTGTTTGTCCTGAAATGGCTCTTCACAATCCTGAATTTGTTCTTTTGTCCAGCTCCTTTGAAATAGTTTCTCAGCCTATTGAAATCTTCTATACCTCTGTAAAGTCTCCTCTGAAATGTCTCTTTTCAAGACTGACGAGCCCAATCTAATCTAGCTATTTCTCACAACTCATTCCCTAACACCGCAAATTAAGTCTTATTTTTTTCCTCTGCACTGTCGCTAAGCCCTGGAATATCCCATGTGTTATGGCTTCCAGGATGTCAAAGCCCACAAAATACACAGTCAATTCACTTTACAATATATTCTGTGAAATGCTTTAGAGATCTCAACAATGTGACAAGGCGCTATATCAAATGCAAGGGTTATTATAAGTATAAAATGCTCCAAAATACACAGAGAACTGTTTAGCTTGCATGTTCCTGGTGTCTCCAATATGGTTGCCTTAATGTGCTGTAGCTTTCTATGATTCTACAATGATTCTAAGTGAATCAACGTAATGGTTGTGTTAGAAATGGTGCAAGGCCTCATTAGTTGCTTCAATCTTTCATCATAAACTAAATTGCACATAATAAAAACATGACTCTCGACATTTTTGGGAAATGTCAAAGATTACCAAATAGAAATATTGCTCTTTAGAAGATAAGCTATCAATTGCAAAACTTTTAAGTGCAATGGAATTGAAGGACATAGTTTACAATTGGCTACAACATTCCAAAATGATACGAGGTGTTTTTCAAATGCTAAAGGCACATATGCAGCAGAACTATAGTGTAACCCTAGGACTAATTTAAAAGTAACTAGTGCAAATGTTGGGTTGAATATTTTTTCTTAACAACAACAACTTGTAGTGAAGGTAGTGAATTTATGGAATTCACTACCCCAGAAGGCTGAAGATGCTCAGTCCTTGAATATCTTCAAGGCTGAGACTGATAGATTTTTTTAAAAATAGAGGGATTAAGGGATATGGGGATAGGGCAGGTAATTAGAGGTAGGTCAGAAGATCAGCCATGATCTTATCGAATGGCGGGGCAGGCTCGAGGGGCCGAATGGCCTACACCTGCTCCTAATTCTTATGTTCTTATGTTCTTATCCTTCTGAACTGAAAGTCGCTACAACAATTTGTTGGCATGGTGCTCTTCACAAAGCATAACGTCTTAGAACAGCTGAACAAATGGTCTCACCCAACTGCGACACCACAGGATACTACATCAAATGCAAGGATTATTATACAGTAACAACAACTGATGGAAGAGCCAAGCACAAATGTTGGCGTTCCGTAGTGTAGTGGTTAGAGCACTCGCCATGCAAGGGAGAGGACCCGGGTACGATTCCCAGGTGGGGAGAAACCTTAGGCAAGTTTCCTTACTTTGCATGCCTTACGTGACCCCATCACTCCCACACTCGCCCGACTCCACTGGCTCCCCATCCCTCAGAGGATCGAATTCAAGATCCTCGCCCTCACTTTCAAGGCCATCCATGGCTTTGCCCCTCCTACCTCTCTGACCTGCTGACTCCCTACTAACCTGCCCGCTCCCTCCGTTCAGCAGGATCCGGCCTGTTCCATGACTCCTGCTCCGCCCTACAATCGGTGGCCGGGCTTTCAGCTTCTCTGCCCCCACACTCTGGAATTCCATTCCACAGTCCCTTCCCCTCACTTCCTCCCTTGCCTCCTTCAAGGCCGGTCTCAAGACCCTCCTCTTCGATCGCGCCTTTTGTCGCCCTCCCACCTCTCTGCCTTCCCTCACCACTACCCCACCCCTCCCCCATGCTCGGGTCCTGACCCCTGACTGTCCACTGCCTTTGGATGTCCTCCCGATGTGAAAGGCACTCTATAAATGTAATTTTGTTGTTGTTGTTGCCTCTGTTTACCTTGCAGTTAGTAGGACCCCCGGTTGCTAGTCGATTGGCGGATCAATTTCTGGGGATAATAATCCCACAAAAAAAATTGGGTCATTCAATCCACAACTGTTTGTGGGACACTGCTGTGCCCAATTGGTTGGTGCTTTTCGTTCACAATATACACAGTCACTTCACTTGACGATATATAGTTTTTATTTCACTTTACAATATTCTGTGAAGCGCTTTGAGACGTCTCAATGGTGTGATAAGGCGCTATGTCAAATGCAAGGATTATTATTATTGTATTGTTATATTGTGGAGTCCTGTAGTTCAGTGGTTAGAGCACTCGCCTCACAAGCGAGAGACCTGGGTTCGATTCCCACCAGAGTGAAACCTTGGGCAAGTTTCCTTACTCCACACGCCTGATAATAATCCCTCTAGAAAAAAAACAATAATGAATTGGTCACTTCAATCCACGAGTGTTTGTGGGACACTGCTGTGCGCAATTGGCTGCCACGTTTCGCCCACAAACGTACGGTCAATTCACTTTGGAGTATATTCTGTGAAGCGCTTTGAGATGTCGAGAAGACGTGAACAGCGCTGCATCAAATGCAAGGATTATTATTATTACTACTGTTGTTGTGACGATGATGATAATGATTTCTTCTGCTGGTGCCACTCAGTGAAACCCTAGAGGAGCCCCATCAGGTGTCGGCCTTGTGAGGGGGCGCCAGTCAGCTCCTCCAAACAGGGAGACAGAGACTCACAACAACCAATTGACTAGTCCCTTCGCTTTAATGAAACAAAGAACGTGCCGGCAGCGTGGGAGCGCCTTCTGCTCCCAGTTCCTAGTCGCTAGACCGTATTACCAAATGGACAGATAGTTAGATAGACAGAAGGAGAGAGAGAGAGAGAGAGGGGGAGAAGGGGGAGATAGAAAGAAAAAAAAGGAAACTCAGAAAACCACAAGTTTATTGCTTTTTTTTCCCCAATTTTTTGGAAAAAAAAGCGGGGACATTTGCCTGAAGAAGAAGAGGAGGAGGAGGAGAAAATCCAAACTTTTGTAAAGTGGCTGCGTTTTTGAGGAGAGGAGAGGAGAGTGAGCCCAGCCCAGCCTTGAGCTGCTGGTCAGTGTTTGCCCCCTGTCCTCCCATCTCACAGTCACTCACATCCTCTCACTATGTGCAGTGCAGCCCACAGCCCCGACGACCTGGCTACCTTATCCCAGTTGGATGAGAACATTCTCCTCGAAGTGCTCAGCCGCCGCTTCCTGCAGGACCACATTTACGTAAGTAACTTTTTTTTAAAAAAAACTCTTTTTTTAAAAGAAATCAAGCTTTAAAAGAAAACGCCTGTCCGATATAAATACACGGTCAGTTCATTTTACACTATGTTCTGTGAAGCGCTTTGAGACATCTCAAAGATGCGATAAGACGCTATATCAAATGCAAGGATTATTATTACTATTATTTATAAAATACTCCCTCTCTGTCCTACTGTTAGTCATATCCCCCTCAAGTAAAGTGAGTCTGCCTTCATTCCAAAGGAGCACTTTACTGTTGACTTCATAAGAATAAGAATAATAATCCTTGCATTTGATGTAGTGCTTTATCATGTCGTTGAGACGTCTCAAAGCGCTTCACTGTAAAGTGGATTCTCTATTTTGTGAGTGAAAGTCGGCTGCCAATTGCAACAGCATTGCAAAGGAGCACTTTATTTTAGTATTCAGTATTTATCCACTGCCAGACTCCCAAACCACACACTATTTCATAATGTTTAATGGTATGTTTATCTAGCCCAAGTGACCTATGGAATAGGTGTGTGTGGAGAGGGGTGGGGGAGGGGGGAATGATTGGTATGAGTTTCCATCAACTAAATGCAACCAAATGATATATTTAACTCCTTTTTTNCTCTCCCAAAGCTGCCCGTCCGTGAGTTTTAGTCCGCCAAGTCCGCCCGACAAGAGTTGTTCTCTGAGCAAGTTTAAACACGAGCTTCTGTGGAAAGTAGCAGGAGACGTGTCAGGGTTTGTTTTTAATAAAAAAAACAAGTACAGTTTGTAAACAAGGCTGGCTGTGTGCAATTTTCGGGCGTTTTGTTTCCGTCAAAATGATCTCCTATCATTTGGGGGATGAGATGGGGCTGTTGAATTAAAGGGTCTCTTTTAATCGTGTAAAAGATTATGTAATTAGTATTGCCAGGTCTCTGATAATTCTCCCCCACCCCATCCCTTTTAATGATAGGAAATCATTTTGCCCGGATGGCGCAGCAGGTTCAGCTCAGAGAGCAAGCAAACGCCTTGATTTTTACACGGAGAATCAGATAAATCCACTGCACAGAAGGCGTCCCATTTGATCCATCATGTCTGTGCCGACTCCCTGAAGAGCAATCCATTCAGTCCCATTTCCCTGCCCCCATACCGCTGCAGCTGACTCTTTTAAGGGTCTAGTCCAATTTCCTCTTGAAGGGCGATACAGATTTTGCCTCAACCACTGCTCCCGGCAGGGCATTCCATTCCTACTTTTTATTGCTGGCAATTTTCCTTGTGGAGAGCGGATCCTCTGCAGGAAGTTTCTTGTCCCCCTGCACCCAAAGAGTCTGTATTGCCAAACGTTGCATTATCCCAGCTTCTCTGTCAGGGTTTGCCTCAGTCTCTGGGATGGTCGCGTTGTTGCTGCCTTTTTCTCCGGACAGTGGCATTTTTAATGAGAAGATATGACATTCTGAATGCACAAGAGCTACAGCATGCAGCTTTATTTACTTACCATCACTCCTCATGACCAAAATAAGGGCAGGGGTTAAAGCTGCTGTAGGCTAAGTTGCCCTGATGTGTTGCCAGGTCTCAACTGCAGCTGCTTTGATAGTTACTATTGGAAAAACTACAAATTTCTTCCTCCTTCAACCCCCCCCACCCACTCCAACTCTTATCTTGTTAGAAAAAGTAACAGGAAACGTCACGGTTTGTTTTTAATAAAAAAACAAGTACTGTTTATAAACGAGGCTGGCTGGGTGCAATTTTCAGGCATTTTGTTTCAGACAAAATGATCTTATAACATTTGGGAGATGAGATAGGGGTGTTGAATTAAAGGTTCTCTTTTAATCATGTAAAAGTCCTGTATCTCAGTGGTTAGATCACTCGCTTTGCAAGCGAGAAACCTGAGTTCAATTCCAGGCAGGGCGAAACTTTGGGCAAGTTTCCTTACTCCACACGCCTAATAATAATCCCTCCAAAAAACCAAAACAATAATACATTGGTCATTTTCAACCCATGACTGTTTGTGGGACATTGCTGTGCGCAATTGGCTGCCGCGTTCGCCCACAAATATACAGTCAATTCACTTTACAGTGTGTTCTGTGAAGCGCTTTGGGACGTCCTCCCGACGTGAAAAGCGCTATATCAAATGCAAGGATTATTATTATTATTATTATTACCTCAGTCTACCTGAGAATCAGTTGTGCATTAGTTGGTGAGCTAAATGCAGCCTGAGGTACAACAGTCTGTGCACTCTCTGGTCAGGCCACTCAGTGTTGGATAGTTGTGGTTGGGAGCCCGGAACCTAGAAGCAGTGAGTGCAGAGGATTCCCAGTGTTAGAGGAATGAGCTGTGAGCAGTGATTAGACATGTCTGTGCTCTTCAGTCTTGTAAGAGGACATGGCTTCGCAGGAACCTTGTAGAGATGTATAAGATTTTAAATGGTATTGTTGAAGTACTTTCCGAACAAAACTGTTTAGATCCATCGAGAGAGACGGCAGTTGAGGAAACAGGTTTAGGATTGCAAATAGCAATTTTATGACAGATACCAGAAAGTATTTACAAAGAATATACAGCACAGAAAACAGACCACTTGACCCAATCAGTCCGTGCCGGTGTTTATAATAATAATAACCCTTGCATTTGATATAGCGCCTTCTCACATCGTTGATGGGTCTCAAAGCGCTTCACCGAAGATATTGTAAAGTGGATTGATTCTGTATTTTATGGGTGAAACAGGGCAGCCAATTTCACACAGCAGTGTTAATCTTAACCGCTGGTACTGTTATCATGGCAGCAGATATTACACGCACAAAAAACTGGTTTGTTTATGCCACGTTCGCCTACAAAAATACAATCTCTGATAAGGCCCTATATGAAATGCAAGGATTATTTATTTCCCTTTATCAGTATCTTAAATCTGTTCCCTCTTGTTTTTTTGAGTCAGCTGGGAGTCTGACATATGTCAGACACTCATCACCATGCTTAAGAGTATCCAAACCAGTTTCACACATCTCACCTAGGCATGCAAATTCTGTGCATTAGCTCTCTGACCTTTACCATATGATAAACCTTCACAATCTTGAAGATCTCTGTTCATCCCACTCAGCTCCTGTTAACTCTGTAAGCCAAAGCCCTTACGGTAGTGTGATCCTAGCTGGACAAGCAACAGCAATGGCAAGCTATGTGGTTTTAGCTGATGAGACCGCAATGCACACTCTGGGGTCCCCAAGCCTTTTCCTCTTGCCAAACTGCGCCTAATACTTTCTGGAATTAGGTAAGCGGGTTGTGTCCTTCCAGAGAGAGAGTTCACATTCCATTCCAACAATCTCTCTCTGGGATTTTCACCTGTAGGTGGGATTCCTGGAATTCTCAGCTTTGTTTGGATTCTCTTAAGCACGGTGATGGGTTTCCAGATGTGTCAGACCAAAACAAAATCTCAGTCAGGACACATCTAAGTCTCTCACTTCTGCAGGAAGAAACAGCCGGAACTTCTAAAGTCTCTTCTCTAAACAGGAAACTCGAAAATTGCGTAAGATTCCAGTGAAACTGTACTGCGTTGTTTCCATTGCTTAATACCCTTCTTATAAAAGGGTGCTAAAGTGCTCTGAGACGCCGTCCGGCGTCGAGGGCGCTATATAAATCCAAGTTGTTGTTGCTAAAAGTGCAAACCGTGCTCTCCGAGCATAGTTCTGAGCTCGTTCAAAATTATCTCCTTTTGTAATATGGGCCTTTAGCTTTGTTGATTTTGATGCTTCTGTGTTGTATTTGGAAAATAAAAAAAACACTAACACAAATCTAGCATTAGTGTGGACAGCAGCGAATTCACAGAGTTGAAGGATTTTCTCAAGAACACCATGATCCATATTACTGACTGATAAGATTTGCCACTTATTCAAGATTGTGTCTCTGAAGTTATGGATATTTTACAGCAAAGAATAAGTGCTAAGATAAGCAGGTAATATTTAGGCCATTGGTCCTTTCAAGTTAAAAATAATAAATAAATAATAATCCTTGCATTTGATATAGCGCTTTTCACGTTTTCGAGACATCTCAAAGCACTTCACAGAATATACTGTGAAGTGAATTGACTGTATATTTGTGGGCGAAATGTGGCAGCCAATTGTGCACAGCAGTGCCCCACAAGCAATCGTGGATTGAAATGATCAAATAATTTTTTTTTCTTGAGGGATTATTATCAGATATTGGAGTAAGGAAACTTGCCCAAGGTTTCGCCCTGCCGGGAATCGAACCCAGGTCTCTCACTCGTGAGACGAGTGCTCTAACCAATGAGCTACAGGACTCCTGTTGTTGAAAATTTGTACAGGACAAGTTGTTGAAAACTTGTCAGTCTTGATCATTATTAAATTGTGGTTTCTGAGAAGAATGTTTTTTTAACAAAAATAATTTACCAATTCCATTATAAAATCATTAAAACTGGCACCCAAAATGGGGTGGTGGGCAAGTGAGGGGCTCCGAGCCTAGAAGTTCATGGTCACTTTGTGCTTTGTATTAAAATCTTTGTGCCTGATGTAAAAATGTCAACATAGCAAAAATAACACGTGGACAAATACATATGTGGATATGTACATATAGGAGAACAAAATAACTTAATTGAAAAAGGAAGGCAGCCAGGGAATGGAACAGGCTGCAGGCTGTAATATCAGAAGTTGAGCCCCCAAATTTGTAGTGTTGGGGGGCAGGATTTGTTTGTTTTTGAGGATGGTAGGGTATCCGTTTATAACCTAAAAGTCTTATCTAGCGCTCTACATTAAGGAGGAACAGGAAGACAAAATTCTACTGAGTAGAAAAGTATTAATCTAAGGCCTAATATAATCAACTGTTAATCCCTTTAACCTTGAAGCTTAAATATTTAAATGGTTTGGTTCTTTTTATTTGAAATCTAACTTTGCGGAATCTTTTATTCAAATTAGTACACTTTTGCCCTCTGAGTTAGCTTTTTACGGATCAGTCTCAGTAAGCAATGAGATCACAAACTTATCATGTTTCTTGTGGTCTCTTGGAGCAGTTGCTGA